ATGCACGGGTCAGCCCGACGACCACTTCCCGTGTCGCTCGCCCCATTTTGACCCACTCTTTTGGGGTGAGTGCCTCTGCAGATTGGGAGTACGTTTCAAAGAAATTTGAGATATACATTTCCCTGTCTAGGGGGTCCTAGACAGGGCAATGTTTATGTATAAGTGTGTGTGTGTAACTATATAAATGTGACTGAATAAGTAAATGTATGATATATGTAACTGTATGAAAGTGTTAGTAGTATGTATGTATTATGTGTGATTCCAGAACCCCCACAGCGCCGCAACGGCGGAGTGAAGGGAATTCCCCTTCTCTAGAACGCTGCCTCCTCGTAGTCTCTCTCCTCGCCCTTTTTGGTGCAGAAACTTACTAAAGCAACCATGCCCGGAAACTATCTGCCGCAACCGGAAAGTTAATATTCCGTAATTCTCCTAACTCTCTTTCTATTGTGGCTAGGGTACGAAGGCCAGAGACTCGAGGCGTCGCTTCTCCTCATCAGGACCTCCTCCGCCTGTCTTCTCACCTCTGCTATTTTCTGTGGGGCAAGGTGGTCTCCTCTATCTCTCGCTAAAGTACGAGCCTTGTAAACCTCCGATAGGGCCAAGTGCCCACAGAAGCATACCCGCTAGGCCGCAAGCTGCATCACCTGATATGGTGCGGTAAGCGCAAACTACCCTTCTCTTCGGAATAACGCAGTATTTGCAGCGTAAAGGAAATTAACCTATACTGGAGATCCATACATGCCATGCTCTACACAACTCTTGCATACAGACGGCGACAGATGACATTATGGCCTCCCAGATATGGTAGGAGTTTTCCGAGAGCTATAGCCGTCTTCGCCAATCTTGGAGCCAACTGCTTGAAATGGTAAGAAATTCCATCGACCATCAAGCAGAAAGCCCAATTATAAGGTGTGGCTTCAGAAGTATAGCCACCCTATCCACCCTTAACTTTGCCCCAGATGGTGGACCTCTGCGTAACTCTACAAGCTCTAACTTTACACCTAGTCAAAGCATGTGGCTTTGCTATTTTGTTACCATTACATAGATGTGAGGTTACTATAATACTCTACTCTACTCTACTTTTCATTACGTTTCTATTGTGAGTCAATAATAGTTCTTGTAAATGACCAAATAACAAGTTGAAATACCTACTTTAAAATATTTTATTTTTAATACTTAAAAAAATAACATGTTTCATTGAAACTCCTAAGGCTGGGACAGAACTGTATTTGATGCTATATATTTATAGAATCGTAATCAGATTTGCTATTCTTATCGGGGATATGTACTTTCCTAATTTATCAATAATAGGCTTATTAAAAAGAAAAAAATATAAATAGGCTTGAAAATTGTCTAATTATTTTTAAGATGCTATTGAAAACATTGAAAAAATTTGTTAGTTGCTTCATACTATTCTCAATTTTAAATAATATGCAAATAATGGCAAAAATTAAAAAAACGTCACATTCATTCGACCAATGGTGTCGCGTTTTGTAAATTTGAATTTCCCTCCTTTATTTTTGACATTTTATTTAATATTTTCTGGATTAAATAAATAAATAACCAAAAAATACTATTAAGGTATAATGTAAAAACATTAAAAATATAAAAAAACTAATAAAGACTAATTTAAATTGTATGCATATTCCACGGACCATAATTTTAATAAAACTTCACCCGTTTCAAGAAGAGTAACATTTTTGTGTTTCGTTGTAATTATTATGCGAACCTTACTTGTAATAAGATTTCACCCATTTCAAGATGAGTAAAACGTAACTTGTACTTTGCCATAATATGTTACTAACACAGTATTAGAAACTCCGTCGACCAGTTTTCATATCCATATAAAGTCTAGACTTCTATCACATACATATACGCTGTGGCCTACTGCCTTATAATCGTGTGGGTTTACCCTTTATATTTAGATCGCTTTTAAACTATTTAATTATATTTGTGTTAATCTATACTAATATTATAAAAAGGTAAAGTTTCTAACTTTGTTTGTGTATTATCTAATTTTGAAATTTATCGCAATCCGTTTTTAAGGTTTAGCGATTATAATAGCAATTTATGGAATTATGTAACGTTTAGATTTAGAACTTCACGAATATCTGTCGAATGTCCACACGAAACTGATTTCGATAGATTTTCAAATTAGCCAGTAAGGCCTCAGATCATGAAAATTCTTCCCTCTAAGGTAGGGAAGTAAGGTGACATAGGCTACGATTTACACGGGCGAAATCGCGGGAAATTTGCTAACTAACAATATTTTTTATCTGTAGGATATCCGGTTTTAGTTCGTGGTTTGCGGTACTACTTACACAATAAATAGAATACTTTTTATTGATATTATGTAACTTTCGTTCGTCAAATATTATCTTATACATACCGGACTTTGGTTACAAACAGGTTCTTTCAAACAGTCGGAAACACAGAGAAAGCTCGAGTACCTATATTGGCTTTTTATTTATATTTGTTCTTGACATCCGTTCTGAATGAATGTGGGACAAATTATAAAAGATCTATAAAAAGATAAACGACTAGATGTTAGATAGGTACTATAACATACATTGTTCAGATCCCAAGTAGCCACTAACAATTTTTGTTTGAATTAGAAACAACGAAGGTACTTCTATCACCCGCTACCGGCGCAATAATTTTATTAAAAATTACGTCAAAGGATTCGGATCATGTTTTTAAAACTGAAATTATAAACATTACACGCAAATGTAATTTCAAAAATATATTCCTGTTTTATTAAAATATTTGATAAAATTTTTCAAGTATTATTTTAAATTATTATGTCAATATAACATTACAAATGCAATTTTATAAAATCAATCAGTATATACTTTGGAATCGCATCGTTAATAGAAAAATAATTAAAATAAAGTTAAGTTTTCAACTCAATTGCAACAAATATAAGACATTTTAAATATTCCGAGTTTTATACCGAAAAAAAAACTATTTAATAGGATCTTTTGTATGCACTGCGTATGCCGCAACGTAACCTTCAGTGAACATACAAGATTGCTTGAGACTGATAAATGGATACCACTAAGTAATAAGTTGAGACACGTCGGAACATCTCGAAAAACTCTTCATACGCAGCAGACGTATAGTGATGCGCGTGCCCCTTTGATAGTATCGATAACCTTGTGCCAAATGTAGCATTAAAAGACACCAAACTTCCGCGAGGAAAATTTTAGCATTTAAACTTGACATAAGACGTGATTTTTCAGCTTTATTTTGGCATACATTACTCGTATTAAGTTATGCACTAAACATTAAATTAAGAATAATTTGAATTACTTACATGGTCTGCTATGTAATTAAATCAAGAATTATTTGAATAGACTATGTAATTCAAATTATTCTTAATTTAATGAAGCAGTTTCATTAATTTCGGCTAATAACGGTTGGTGTTATTGTTCATATCTAATAATTTGGTTTTAATAAAGATGACAATAATGTGCATATTCTATTATAAATACCTCATTCCCATAGACGAAAAAATATTATAACACAACTTTTTAAGTAACATTATAATTTATAGCCGCTTTTCTACAAAAAAAAGTCCCTTTATCGTATTTTTTCTAAATTTCACAACTAGTAATTTGGTTAGCATTGACAAAAAATAGAATCTACCAATAAGAACTCTTATGTCAAATCTTGCAGTCAAAATTAAAGAAACTTTGACTCGATTCTAAACCAAGCATTGTTTTCAGGATATGATAGTATCTATCCAAACTTTGCAGCCAGAGCCCAAACACTAAACTTAATCATCTGCTGCCATATGTATCGAGAAAATAAGTTGCAACACTACGTGACCTATTGAACCCGCAATAGCCACGGGTATTGGCGCCTTTTACTAACACAAAAGATACTTAAAGCTAAGTAATTATTTAATGTAAGATGACTTGCCAGCACACAAGTTTACAGCTAATCCATCCTGCGTGTGACGAAATTCTCTTTAAATAAGTATAAAAAAGTGCTAATTGGTTACTCAATAAAACTTTTTTAGACTACAGAGAATAAAGTTCATGTTACATTCATATTTAATCCTAAAACTTGACCGTTGCCCCGCGTCTGACACCTTGCTATTATTGTCTTTTATTGCGTTGAAATGACTCGCCTTAAAAATGCAAAAAAATGCGCTGATTACAAGAAAACAGCTCGAAATTTCAGATTTGTTTTTTACTCGACACATAAACCATTTATCACTTTTAAAGTTAATTTTCAATAACTGTGAACTTCATAGTGTCGTCTTCTAATCTATAGCGTTAAAATACGTAAATTAAAGCAGGATAGACAATAACAACAGCGGAATAAATAGTTATAAAATATTTTTACTTATTTAAAATCTAATTAACAGATTCATGTTAATGTAAAAGTAAGAAATATGTCAGTAGATTCATTGTAATGTCTTCTGTGAACACAGCTTTCGCCCTATGAGATCCAAATACAATGCGAGTGAAACCTGCCGTGCGTCTGCGCGGGTACCATAGAGCAAGCATCACAGAAGGTCTGTTTATCTTTAATAAATTTGAAACAGGAATTTTATTTTTAGTTTTAGTAACGAATAAACTCAAAAACTTCACAAGTATAATTATATATGTAACGCATAGATACTGCCTTATAAGGGGGCTCTATCTACTCATCTTGGAATCTGAGCAGTATGCGTGTTCCTCTCCCCTCGGACCGCGCAAGCGTTTGGACGTGTAATCTGTGCTAAAAGTTCTTATAAAAATTAGTTTAAAAAAGAAATCTAAAATAAATATTGTGAAATAATTCAATTTTATCAGCGGCGAAGTACCAGGAGCACATAACTACAGGTAGATTCACAAGCAGTGTCAAGTGAACGGTCCATAAGAATCGGTTGAGACAGCGGGCTACTACCCGTCGCACTCACTGCCAGTAGTGAATCGCAAATCAAGTGGTCGTTTGCCGTTATTCATAGGCGTTAGCGTTTGGTCGTTTAAACCAGTTTCATAATCGGGATGCCTAACGTGATGCGGTCGCCTACTTTAAATAAATCCCACAGCATGTCAGATGCAGATGTGGATAAATTGATGAGCACCGCCTCTTCATTAGAAGAATTCAAGCAGTCAACACAACGCGATAGTAAACGTCGACGCGTGTCGGAAGACAGCCCAATAGGAGGAATTGATATTCGCAGAATTATTAGGGAGGAGCTTCGGGACATACTGACTGAACTGCAAGAACAACAAAATTCGCGCATGAACATTATGGAACAACATATGTCAGATATAAAAAACCAAAATAATAACATGCATCTGACGACTACTGAAATTGGTACATCCATTGAGTTTGTCAACGACCAACTAAAGGTAATACAATCAGCTATCAGCCGTCTCGATGAAGAACGTAAAGAAGTGGCTTCACAGATCTCTAGACTTGAGGACAAATGCGACTTGATGGAAAGATTCTCCCGCAAAACCAGCTTCCAGATAAGAAACTTTCCTAAACAGAGAGGAGAAACCAAAGAATCTCTGTTCAATGCAATTCATAAATTAACGATCTCACTAGGTGTATCTTTGGATGCCTCAGAAGTGCGCGATGCCTACCGAGTTCCCACCAAACATGACAATTCATCTTCGATGGTCGTTGCAGAACTCTCCTCGACTCTTACTAAAGGAAACATATTGAAGGCTGCAAAGAGGTTTCACGCTGATTCCATAAAGTTCAAGACCGATCAATTAAATTCCCAACATCTTGGACTTGAGGGGCCTAAAGTTGCAATCTATTTAGCTGAACATCTCACCCCGATGGCATCGCGACTCTTCTTCCTGGCTAGAGAATTCCGTAAGAGTATGGGCTACGACTTCTGTTGGACGTCAAGTGGCTTAGTGTATCTACGCAAGAAACAAGGTGATCCCTATATTTTGGTAAGGTCTGAGGCTCAACTGCACCAGTTACGGAACATATGACTAGTTCGTAGTGTCTGTCAGTTTTTATCTAAATATTTCTTTAATCTAAGTTATATCTTATTTCTATATGTTAAAGTAATCATATTCCATACTATATCGCCTGATTATTCTACATCGGCTACTGTTATCTACTTACATACACATCAAACTCTCACTGAACATCATTTGCATAATTCGAGATACATAATGAACCTTATCAATAAACAATCCACTAAAATAAATTCTTCAGATGTAATATTAACTTATCTTACACCATATCATATACGCAACTGCACGCCCACTACCTACATAACTAATATGTATTGCAACCCATCGAAAATAAGTCTCACCACACCTCTTCTCGATGGACGGTAATATCATAATTGATGAAATAGACACATTCAACCAAATTTCTTGTAAACTTATAGAAAACCCGAAACATATTGAATCTGAACTTAAAAGTTCTTTTTCTAAACCACAAAAAATATTTAACATTATTTCGATGAATATTAGAAGTATAAACAAAAACCTGGATGATTTCCTTATTTTCTTAACAAGACTAAATATAAACTTACATGTCCTGGTACTCACCGAATGTTGGTCCGATCAAGACACCATACCACCCTTAATAGACGGGTATTCGGTATTCTCTACTAATAGAAGTTACAACCAAAATGATGGAGTTATCATCTACGTTAATACAGACTTCAATGCAAAAGTGAATGAATTGGATATCGATGAGGCGAACTGTCTAATGGTTGAATTAGATAACATAAGTATCCTGGGCATATACAGACCAGACTGTTTCAAACAACCTGATAAATTCTTAGATTCTCTGGATCAATATCTTACTACTATCAAAACACAGAATTTGATTGTAACTGGAGATATAAACATAGATACCCTAAATACTAACAGTAAAAACGTTACTGATTATTTAGAAGTTATCGGCTCCCACGGCTTAAACAACTCGGTCAACATTCCCACTCATGGTAAGACTTGCTTGGATCATTTTATGTGTAAACTTGACAGCGAATACCGATGTTTTGTTTTTGAGACGGATATAACTGACCACAGTCCCATTTTATTGTCACTTACTAATACACGCAATCTTAGCTCAAACTTTACTAAGACCATGTCTAGAACAAAAATTAACTTTGAAGCTCTAGACATTGCCTTTAAAGAACATAATTGGAATAACTTTCTAGAAATTGAAGACCCGGACGAAGCTGCCATAGTTCTCACAAGAACAATTCAGGATCTTACCCTTCAACATACTAATACGATAAAATTCACCAAAAAGAGATGTCCTATGAAACCATGGATTACTGTAAGCCTTGTGAAAAGTTTTCACAAGAGAGACAAAATGCATCTATTAGTTAGAAAAAGACCTCATGATCTAGAACTCAAACATGTCTATTTGAAATATCGCAATATGTGCAATCTGATAGCAAAGCAATGTAAAGAACAATATTTTAGAGACAAATTCAATAAAAATCACAACAATAATAAGGGTACTTGGGCAACAATCAAAGAAGTATGCAATATCAAAAAACCTTCTGATAAGTCTACAAATCTTCTAAAAATAAGTGACACTTCGAAGTCATCCTTAAATGTTGTTAATAAGTTCTTTACTACAGTTGGGGCAGAACTAGCCAATGAAATTATGGTAAGGACTAACACGACTGAATCGCTACTTGCAAATAATATACGCAATTCTGAAATCTGTCACTCGATGAACTTGACTCCTACCGATTACATTGAGATAGATAAAATAATTCGCAATCTAAGAAATAGTAGTGCCCATGGAATTGATAATATCTCCACAGCTATCCTTAAAAAATCTCATTACATCTTGTGCACTATGATTGCCCATCTATGTAACCTGAGCATCTCGACCGGATTATTCCCTAAGATTTTTAAGCAGGCAGTGGTAATTCCCATTTATAAAAGTGGCGACAAAAACCTGACATCTAACTACCGACCTATTTCGCTGTTAAGCACTGTTAGTAAAATAATAGAGAAAGTAGTTAACATAAGACTGACGAACTACTTAGAAAGCCAGCACCTGCTAGCACCTAACCAATTCGGTTTCCGGAAAAATAAAAGTACAGAGGATGCTATTGCCTCTCTCTCTGCGAAAGTCACTGCATATCTTGACCAGAAACAATGTTGTGTCGGCATCTTCCTTGACCTGAAGAAGGCTTTCGATACGGTATCTATACCTGTACTTTTATCAAGAATGGAAAGTCTAGGTATACGAGGTGTTGTTCTTGAATGGTTTCGTGATTACCTTACGAACAGAGGCCAAGTAGTTAGAATTGATCAAACTTACAGCGACACATCTCACAGTTGCTACGGAATTCCTCAGGGAAGTACAATTGGCCCAACCCTCTTTCTTATATACGTTAATGAGCTTTGTAAGTTGCAAATGAAGAATGGATGTTCCATAGCCTTTGCAGATGATACAACATTAATTTTTAGAGGAGTGACATGGTCAGAAGTACAAAGGTTTGCTGAAATTGGGCTCGGAGCGGTCATGAATTGGCTGGATAGCAATCTATTGACCTTAAATGTATCAAAAACAAATTACATATGCTTCCGTATCAATAACAAATTAAACCCTCCATCGCAATTCGAAATTAAAGCCCACAGAGCAGCATGCGAATACTTCTCGTCAAAAAATTTTAGTGGCTGTAATTGTATAGTCCTGAATCAAATAGACACACAAAAATATCTGGGTATCATCATAGATAAAAATCTAACTTGGCAACCTCATATCTCGTCACTAAGTGGGAAGGTAAGGAAACTCCTTCCAATTTTTAAACGATTAAGAGATGTATCTGACGTAGAAATGGTCAAGAAAGTATATGTATCCCTATGCCAAACAATTTTATCGTACTGCATTCCCGTCTGGGGAGGGGCTGCCTCCACACACCTCATTGAGCTTGAAAGAGCTCAAAGGGCTGTTCTTAAAGTAATGCTTCACAAGCCTAAAAGATTCTGCACACAAACACTTTATGAAGAATGCAGACTTCTGACAGTTCGGCAATTGTACATATATAACATTGTTTTAAGGCAGCATAAATACATTGATTTAACCAAAATTGATCAGCAGAGGCGTCGTGTGGTCATTCAAACACCTTACTTTAAAACAATTTTTGCTAGGAAACAAATAATTTTTATGGGTCTTTTCTTATACAAACTTATGAATAAAAAAGATCATATATATAAAATGAATCGAATGTCTTTGAAACGTGTACTACTAAAGAAACTTCTAACATTGGGTTATGAAAATACTGAGAACTTATTGAAATCTTCTTCATGAATAAATTAAATTCAATAAAATAAAGTAAGCAGTGAATCGCTTCTAACTTGGACCACTCAACAAGTTTCTAGTGAGCGTACGCAAGCACGCGTTTACACATTCTCTCATTCATACTTTTACTTACACCAACCACCTGCTCCATAATAGAATAAACACCGCACTAACACATATTATTAAAACTTTTATTACTACCCCCCTAATCAATTATTGTACACTCTTGCTGTCTATATTATTTATGATGTGTTATTACTATTGAATCTTTAGCTTATTTTGACAGTTTTGTTATAAATAAATAAGTACTGTAACTTAGTGTAACTTTAGTGAATTGTAATGAGTATTTGTGAGGTGGAGGACTGACTACTTGTGATTCGGGATTTACCCTAGTGCTGGTGTCAGTCCACCATAGTCGGCTATCTGATACATTGTTATTCCCATGTAATTCAAAGGATGATTATGGTGAGGATTAAATGATTATTATTATTATTATTATTATTATATGTTGCTTAATATTTATTTATGTTTTTAGATATAACTTAAATTATTATCTATCACAAAAATTTTACAAATTCATGGTTTGCCCATTAAACATTATGATGTCTGTTTTTAACCAGATTATATACAAACTTTTTTTATGTAATCATCCTTTTTGTACCTTCTGTTATTACTTTATTATCACCATCGTGTCGTGTCACCTCCGTCTGTTAATTAATTGTAATCGATGAACGTTCCGTTTAGACTCGTGTGTGTTCTTCATTGATCAGTTATCTGGGTTTACTTTGACCGGCGGTATTGGCATTAGTAATCACTTGACACGAATATTTTCGAACTAGTGATGAGCAGGCTTGGTGTGAGCAAAATAAATTCTATATTATCTACTGGATATTTGATTGGGTTAGATCATGGGCTACATTGCTTCTTCAACTATTATCGGAGCAATATTACACCACGTTATATTAACTTTATTATATATTTAAATTATATGTCGGCATTAATTTGCACTTTTGGTTGTGTGTACTTACTTCAAAAATTGCACCTTAGAACGCGAAAAGTTCGCTTCAACTCTTAATACGTATTTTTGTAAGTTATATAAGTTTGCGATGACATATTTCGCTGCACCAAATAATAATTAAAACTATTATTATCAAATTTCATATAAAAAAAAATGTCACATCAATTGATTTTATCTATAGCAATAGTAACTCAAATACTCACTAATCTTATTTTCATTATACTTTTTAATGAAGGTTATTGAATTACTCATACTTCGCCTCCCCGGCGAGGTTGGGCGAGTCCTGTAGTGTAGGAAGTCAAATATCATAAGGATATCCACTTAAACCTTCCGATGTCCTCCTCTATGCAGGTGATAAATAAAAACTGCCGAGGTCTCTTACGTGCCCGGTTTTCATTATACCTACTTTTTTATAATATCATTTGAATTTAACTTTGATAGTACACCTTTAAATGATAACCCTTGGCTTCATCTGACTATGATTTGTAAACTTCTAAGCATAAATAAAAAGTGATATATTATTGTTTTATGTCTGTATATACTCTGAGATAGGTCCATGTTCTCAACCTAGAACTGTATAATTAATTATATATCTTTTAAATTAGATACCTCATACATCTTTGTGCATCATCAGACCAGGCACTAAGGCAAGGCTTTTCACACATGCTCGCTGGATTTCAACCT